ATGTTATATATTAAAATCGAAAAATCCTATTACAAATAACCAAAAATCGGCAATTTCATGTTAAAAATCAGAAATATTATATTAAAATCAAAAATATTTATTAAAATCGGAAATATTATATTAAAATTGCCAAAAAATCAGACAGCCATATTAAAAAGGGCAAAAATCTGATTTTTATTTATTTGACCTGTGTATATCTGTAGAAAATACGTTATAAATGTATGAATTTTAATATACTGTAGAATAATACATATACCGTATCCTTTATTTACAATATTTTTGTGAACCGTATACAAAATACTGATATACAGTAGAAATGATATACGTTATAGACGTATGAATTTAATATACCGTATCACACAGTATATTTACCGTATACTTTATTGTATTTTTTACTAAGCATATTTTGCGAACAGTATACATTATACTGATATGCCGTATGTAAAAATGCAAACTGTATCAAAAATACGTATATACAGTATAAAAACCGTATACATATTTTTTATAGGGCTACCTCACTACTTTATGTTGGCTACATGGAGGTAATATAAAACCTTATTTGTTTTTAATTTTAAAAAATACGAATAAAAAAATTTATGAAATTATAAATTCTATCTTTTCACTTCAAATCTTCTATATAGCGGAGATAATGAATGTTAATATGACAATTTATTAATTTTAAAAGTACGAATTTATTTTAAATCCATTAATGAATATTTTCGGAAATAAAACTGCATAAATTTACCTAATATTTATAAGTTTTTTTTAATGCATTGTAAAAAATTTATATTATTAAAATATATAGTACGAATTCATTGTAAATTTATTGTGCAACTTATTATCTATACAATATATTACTGAAATTGAATTATAATAATATAATAAAATACTCGTTATCGTTAATTTATTGATATATAGCAAAAATGTATGATAAAAAATTCTACATGTATTTAAATTTGAATAGTAAATAAATTGAATATAAAATATATCAATATATGATACAGTTGGGGAGATTCATAAACTTCGTAGCCACGCTCAATTAAGGCAATGTATTACTAGACCTACGCTAAAAATAACTTTAGCAAGGCTTTCTTTGTGAATTAAAAGAAATTTCATACACTTTGCCAGCTGGTGAGAAAGCTTATAAAGTAACCCATATTCTCATTTCCTAATAAAAGATTCACTAATAAAATATTTTAAATTTTAAAATCTTCTATAAATATTAAATATTTAACAAAAGGAGAAAAGTGCATGGTTTAAATAAATTGAAATACTTCAAGAAATCCCTAAAAAGAAAAAAAATAAATACTTTCCAAAATTCACTTTTTTGTTCATAATCACATGATATCAATTGAAATCAAGATTTGCATCAGTTCGCACCTCCAACTCGTACAAACGATTACGGAAAAATTATAGCCAAATATAATAAGAGTTCCAGAGAGATCTGAAGAATTAGTTGCGTTCAGCTACTCATTTTTATTACTTTGAACATAATCGCCTGGTTAAATTAAAAAACACTAAATAAAAAATTGCAACAATATTACAATTTTAGATAAAAAATATTTACTTGCTGCTTCTTTTTCATTAGGCATAGTAGTTTCTTGTACTTTTCATAATCTTGCCATTTTAAATAAATAGTTATAATTGTTTAAAAATGTTCAAAAATTTCTTATAAAATTGAAGGTATTGTAGACACGAAATTTGAAATAAATATTTTCGCTACTAATTTTATTATTGCGTATGGTAAGAAACAAAGTTTATCAAGTTATATAAGGGGAAGTTTAAATGTCTATATATATAAGCTTAATATTTAAAAGTCTATTTATTTAAGCTTAATATAAGAAAAAGTCTAAATATCTATTTAGATGAATAATTTAAGCTTTAATATACAGTATATTTCAATAAATAAACTTTATATATATATGTTGATAAATATACTTTCATATCGAAAATGAAAATATTGTCCAAATAAACTTTTATATCGAAAAAAAATGAAAATATTATCAAAGAGCTTTCTCCGATATTTTAAATTTTTTTTAAATTTTTTTTACATGAATTAAAAAAAAGCCTTTTTTTATTTTTTTTTTTATAACTGTAACGCATTTTTTTATTTAGGATAGAATCCAATATCGAAATACCTAGAAATGTTCATGCAACACGAAATGTCTCTATAACAGAGTTCAATCTATCTTAATACAAATAACCAAACAAAAATTTAAATAAAAACAAGTTTAACAAACCCTATACCTATCCTATCCACTAAATACTAGCTATCACTATTAACAGAACAATTACACAAGGACTAACGTCTACAAGAAACACTGACTAATCTAAAGAAAGCTATCAACAATCCTAGCGCTAAGCCTGACCTTTTCCCACGTCCAATCTCCATGCCAAATCAAAAAAATAACGAAACCCATCAAAGAAACCTTTTACCCATTTGATTCTCGAACTTGCAAAGCATGAGACTTGAGAATAAAGTTCCTTTCAGCACTCAGCCTTAACCAAGCACATAACTCAAAATCCTGTTCTTCTACCTTTGGCTTGGTGGTCAGTCCCTCAAAGAAAACCATTTCCTTTTCTTTCATTAACTCGCTCTTCCAATTTCTTACAAAAACAAAAAATTAGTCAAAATCCTCAAGAAAATCACTAAGCATAAGTGGCTAAAGCTAACTAATAAACTTTAAATACAAAACCTGCTTAATTTCAGTTTAACGAAAACGTATTCGAAGAATGATCAAAAATTCTCCACTTGACTACAATAATCTGCAACCAAAAAAAAAACTTTTCAAGTTTGTTTACCTATTGAACGAAGTAGCTTATTCGCTATCGGAGTCGTTTCGACTACCTTGAACTGTCAACGCGTTTTTTGTTTTCGTTCACTTTTTCGAGTTCTGATTCCGTAGCTTTATCTTTACCTTTAGTTTGTGTTTCTTCTTTGCCACTGATCTTGTTGATTCTTTCGCTAAAGTCATTATTTAATTGGTTAAATTTTTCGACTACATTTTTGCTCGGCACCGTTAATACAAGTGATATTGTTGGACTCGCTAACGCGTCTTCAAATTGTTCATCCTACGAGAGAAGGAAAAAATGTGCCATGTAAAATTTTCTGAATAAATAATAACTGTATACGTATTGAATTATCATTTCGATATCCTAATTATATAAAATTTATCCATCGAACTGAATGATATCATGATTAGCAATTAAAGAACGATGAATATTGAGATAAATACATTTTAATATATGATATAAATATTGTTTGCGATTTTTTTTAAAATATTGATCACTAATTTTTTTATTATAATATTATAAAGGAGGCAAAAAACTGAAAATGGGAAAGCTTATTGTATATTCTTTTATTTCCTCTTTTGTTTTAGCTGAAATACACTAGGTTAAAGATGTGTCATGAAAAAAAAATATTTACATTAAAAGATTATTACATCGATTGAGTTGATCATGTAATATAGTATAAAAAATCAATGTATGCAAAATTATAAACAATCCGCTTCATTTTCAAATTGTACTGAAAAATGTGAAAGTGAAATTTAAGCGATCTATATTAATTCGTTTATTCTTACGTATATTACAAAGTTATACAAAAGCAAAAAATTTATTAACAATATTTTGAAATCCTGCCATTATAATGATTATAAAAGTACTACGGCCCTACCACGAAGGGACTTCGTAAGAAGCGCACTATGCTCCTCCCATTAAAATTACGCATACCCTATGAAAAAAGATCATCCAATTTTTGTGCAATATTTGTTCAAGTCCGTGCGGAAATCATACAATTATTGCAGTTTTTTGGATAAAAATGGCCATGTCGATTTTATAGTGTATTGAAAATGTGCGATCTTTGTACAATTGAAAATAAACTTAAATTAAGTATACAGAAAACGTTCAACTTTTGTGCAATAAAAGTTTAGGATATAAAAATTGTGCGATTATTGTACAATATTTGAAAATATACGAAATATACGTTTATTTTAGTACAATCGTTACAATTGTACGATGGGAGATCATTTTACTTTAATTGTGAATTGTGAATGTATTTAAAAAGTAATATATATGACTGTTTACCTACAATGTATTTATTTTAAATTAACTTATAATTTATAATAATATTAGCGATCAAGTTATTTTATTATAACAGAACCGCGTTTCTATAATATACATTTAATATCATTTAACCCATTTAACCGTAATTCAACCATATTATAATCGTGTATCAAGTTTTTATATTATAGTAAAACCGAAAATATCTGCAAACATCACAATAATCGCTTCATCACGATCACCTTTTCCGTCTCTANAAACTTCTGTTATTGATGAATGTAATGTTAATGATACCTTTGAAAAAACTAATAATAGTGATAATATTAATTCTGAACAATGGACTAAAATAATTGAAGATTGGATTAAAATGGTTAATGCAGAAATTAATATAAATAATACAGAAGTTATAGGCGAAGAAACATATGAATTTGAAATAGGTGGACAAAGTATTCATCCAGCAGATAATCCATTGGCTAAATGGAAGTTACTTGATTTGTTTAATGAGACTTTAGAAGCTCCAGTTAATATGTTTTAATAATAAATTGTGAATTTGTGATTAAGTAATTTTTACTTTTATTAAATAATACGCTATAATAAAGATTTATTATATTAAATAATTTTGGCCGGCATTACAGCTCACATGACATAATTTCAAATGACATAATATTGTCATTTACTCACTGAAATGACATAATGATACGTGACATGTCACTAATGTCATTTGTGTCATTTAATATCACTTCACAACACTGTGTATGACAGTATTTACAGGTGGTGACCCTAGAGCCAAAAAAAAAATATGGATCATTTAATTAGTTTTCCTTTTATTTGGTTGTCTTTCCAGGTCAGCGGGTGAGTTCTGAGTGTGATCTTGGGTCCCTCCCATTTCTCGCTCTTCTTCAAGGTCAAAAATCATCGTCTGCTAGGTTTGCGGTTTAGTTGATAGTGATAGAATTATCTTTGGCTCAAATATTTGTTGTCCTTATAATTTGTACTACAACTTGGTTTTTCTAAAACATAAAAATAAAAATAAAAGAAGTAATATATGAACATTTGACCAAAAATGTAGGATACGTGGAGCAACTAAGATTCAAAAGATGTTATGAATATAAGAGGGTTATGATTACGGCTACACTTCATTTCACCAAAGCTTATAAAGATGTACAGTATATAAACGAGGTGGCATTAACATTTCCATTACAAGAAAATGAGCGTTAGTATTTTTTCAGAATGTTTTACTCGAGATTAACATGACCATTATTAAAGAAAACATTGAGTAATATGGTTGATTTTTCAGAAAAATAATTAGAATTCATGAAATTAAATACATTCCAATTTATGAAAATGATATGATGAAAGAAATATATAAATCAGCAATGAAAGATGATTTAGGAAAAGAATTTCAAGTGAAGAAACATGATAATTTAATAGATAAAAATGGAAACTTTAATGAACGATGAACCCAAAAGACAACATCGAGAGCAAACACAAATATCAATGCATCGGAACAAGAAAAATTTTATGAAGCATCAGCTATTCTAGTGAGTTCAACGGTTCATGAGAAAGACAAAGTTGAAGATTTAATAAACTGAATGAGGTTTTTAGCGATAGAGTTAAAGAAATTAATGGTCAAACAGAAGGATCTAAAGGTAAAGGAAAAGAAATAGTGACAGAGACGTCAATTTTTAATGAAAGTTGCAATAGTTCAGGGTGAAAGGGATGATAATGACATTGAGTAAATACAAAATAGAATGATTTTTAGTGCTATATTAGACCGTTACAACATATTTAGGTTTATTATAGTATGGCACGTTATCTATAGACCAACTTAGTTTAGTTTATTACTATAATAGATATTAGTATTAGATAGATCTTAATTTATAGTTAGCTAACCCTTTCTTTTAAAAGAGTATGATAGTAATAGTTTAACTAAACGTTCTTTAATTAAGTCTAATGTATTTTCATATTTTCATATTGTATAAATTATATTATTATTTACTCAATAAAGGAAAATACTTTACTATAAAAAAAAAAAAAAAATTAAAGTAGTTAAAATAATCATTTAAACATAAATCTTCACATAGTCTTTTGGTGTAGTAGGTACAAATGTAAAATATTCGAATTTGTTTTAAATATTTAATTATGACAAAAATTTCTTTACAAAATATCAATCAAAGAATATTCATTATCTCAGTCAGTTTTTATACAATAAAAGCGAATAATATCTTTTTTGCAATTGCTCATAACCAAAACAAATTTTTATCACGATGAATTCTTTAGTAGTGGATTGTAAATTAAAGTAAAAGTAAATTGTCAATGAATTGTATTTTTTACAGAATTATTCAATGGTGATATTTGTCTGGATTCGAAACCTATGAGTTTCACCAGGAATTGATTCTAAAATCTGACGAAACTAGTTTTGCCAGATTTCGAGATTCTGAAACCTTCGTATGGGGACCATTAACTAATTTCTATCTATATTTATCTAATCAGCTAAGCTGGGGATGAACAATTAGAATACAAGAAAATTCTTTAAGGTTATTAATTTGTAATAGAAGGTTATAGCAAATTTTGAAAGTCATAGAACGCTTAGCAAATTTTACTTCCAAGAGTACTTGGTAACATTTAATAAAGTTATCTCTAAATGAAAGTTTATTTGAATATTAATCTAAATAAAACGTCAAAATTTCGTATATTTGAAATCCAAATTTGATTGGCTGGCAAAGTGATCAGCATGTGATTTATTTATTCATCCAGCCAATCTTAACCGAATATATATTTATCCAGTACAGTACGAATTTGCAAACCTGTACGGTACGGTTGATCAATTTTTATGATAATCATTCGTACCGTACTGGTTCTATAAGTCGTCGGGCTGGTAGTGTGTCTCGCTACGCTCAACCCACCTCGGCCGCGGCCTCGCAGTACCTACATCCCCCCTCCGTGGGGTAGGGAATCCCCTATATCTGTCACCATCTGTCATTAACATCTGTCATATAATAATATACTAAAAAAGAATGAAATAAGGGAAAAGAGAGGAAAATACGATAGAATCAGAGGGGTATGACAGATATGACGGATATGACAGATGTTTCAGAAAAATCGGGAGAGGATACTCCCAGAAAAAAGTTTTGATTTTACCCCCCCAGATCTGTCATTCTGTCATAGATCTGTCATATGATCAGGATTCAGTCTATTCATCTGTCGGAAGCAGTGAGATAGCAAACCGAGTAAACAGGTAGGTTAATAGCCCCTAGAAGGTCTGTAAAGCCACAGAGAGATAACCGGGTAGAAGCGCGGATCTTTGGAAAAAATATATTCGGCAATTGAAGATTAGGTAACTATAAATTAGTACTCGATTTAATAGAACGAAAAAATGACCACTCAAGCTCAAGTTATCCCCAAATTCGGTGAACAAACGAAAGCCTTTAGTATCAATGAGCTTAAACGGCTTATTGTCGCTGCAAAGAGTATGAGTGACCTCGATCAAGCCAAGAGGTATCTTTGCAGTTATTTCATTCCCTGTGCAGATCCTCATGGGGTTTTCTGGTGGGACCCGGATAGTAAAAGTTTGAAACACGTTATTGACAAAAATATTGGTAAACTTATCCGTCCAATTATGAAGGTATTCTACACACAACCTGAACAAGGACCCTCTCAAAAGACCGAGTTCAACATCTACAAATGGTTTATGGTCGAGAATACCGATGTATGTAATGCAACCTGTGATCCCCATAAACAGCGAATCTTCAGATCCTTAACCGGCCAACTCTATCTAAATATCTTCCCAGGATTCCTCCACGTCTTACGTCCGATATCCACCTTTGAGTCTACAATTCACCTCGCGGTTAAATTTATCTTCTCTCACATTCAGGATATCTGGTGTTCGGGTGATTGGAATCTCACTGAGTATATCATCAAGTGGTTGGCCGGTGTATCTGCTGGAAGGAAGATGTACTCGATCCTTTACCTGAGATCTGGACAGGGTTGGGGCAAAGGCATTATAACAGATTTCATTCAGCGCAGCGTCCTAGGCACTCAACTCGTTTATAAGACCAGCGATCCTCAGACGATTCGTGGAAGTTTCAATGGGCAATTACAGGGTAAGATTCTTCTTCTTCTCGAGGAAATGCCCACGGAAAAAAGCCAGTGGAATAATCTGTATCGCTCTTTAAAGGATAAGGTAACGAGTGACATAATGGAAATCCATGAAAAATACAAGACACCAACACATTATAAAAACTTTATGTCTACTATCGTCCTAACCAACGAAAATGCTCTCAGAGTGGATAATGATGATAGGCGCACAGTGTTCTTGGATGTGTCACCATCCCGCAAGGGAGACCTCAACTACTTCAAAAAACTCGGTGACGCTATGAAATACCCAGGCGCCAGTGAGGCATTCTATGCTTATTTGAGAGCCATTGCGAATACTTACTCAGACTTCAATGGAAATCCGCCACCCATGACAACATCCAAACAGGAACATATCATCTCAACTCTTCCACCGCTATTCCAATTTATAAAGGACACATACCTCTTAGTGAAAAATTATATGACCGACCTACCTGTTCAAGAATTTTATAGGGTATATACTTCATATTGCGAAACTCGTGGCATTACACCCTTATCAAAGATAAACGCTTCTAGAATCCTATCAAATGAGTT